AATGGTGAACAATTGCATTTGCCAATCAGCGTGTCTAGTATCATCTTCACCTCCCTTCCAGTGCGCCCTTAGCGCGTTGTCACCTTGGAAGGGGTGGACGGAAAGTCCCAAAAATCTGGAATTTCCTCCGGGTGACTCATCGGCAAGCGGACCGTTACATACAGATATGCCGTTCGGAAATTCGTGGTTTATTAAGCGCGAGGGACACAAATTACTAAAAATCTAGCAAAGCAATTCTAGTGACCCTCGGAGGAGGTAATGAGACCCGTGCAAGCAATAAACGAAAATCCTCAACTCAAAAATAACCGTTCCCGGTCGATCGTGCCATAAACCGTATCTACAGAAAACCTAACAGAAATAATTGAACGAAATAAAAGTTGGACCTGTAAGGGAAGTTTCAGTTGTTAAAATACTTCTTACGCGAAGCTTCTGAAGTGGCTTATACAGGGACACACAAATTTCGACGAAAATCCTGGGGTCGAGATTGAAGAAAATACCAGTTGAGTCGTGACGGAATATAGGAAGAAGCTTTGCCTTTCGGCATCTCTATTGCAACGAGAGTAGCACATAAAATGTCTTTACAATTCGTCTCGCTGCCATCTTAACGTCGTTCCTTTTTCTCTGTCTCCTCGTATCTGTCTATCCACTTATCTCTAACTTTCACGACAAAGCTTACCGATCTTACCGCGCATCTCACGTGATCTTCTCGCATTCCTTCTGCTGCTTTATCTGCTACAGAACAATAAACAAGGCAAAATTCTTTGCCGAACAAAATCAACAAATCATCAGAGAGTACACGTAGTGTTTATTTTGCTGGATTAAGACTAAGAATCATTAAGACTAAAATATAGAAGCTAACGTGTCAATCATGTATTTCTTTTAGATAACTATCATACTGCTGAATTTCAATTTCAAATCAAGCTTGTATGTATATTTTTAGTCTAGCTTTTATTTCCATTCTTTTTTTATTTCTTAAACTATCAATTTTAACATTCGTGTTATTTCTAGTATTACAAATTTTGCGTTGCAAAGCCTGAACGTGAAAACTGCTGAAAAATACCAGCTTCAATTTACATGAAAAAAAAAAAATCGAAAAAGGGAGAAAAATACAAAAATAAATAGCGCGGTATAACAGTATCTGCAAATAGTCACGTATATTTAGTATCAACTGGATCGCTCGAAGTGGGGGAGTTATGTCGTAAAATTCGACTGCGAAACGAAAGTTTCGGCGACTGTAGGTTCCAGCAGTCCCATGGCAAGAAAGTTTCGCGTAACTTTCCCGCTAGACGAATCACCGCCATGCCACGTTCGGCTCGGTTTCTGGGCTTAGCCCCGCACACTGATCAACTCCTGGGAGCGGGTAATTAAACCTGCTCGCCTCCTTACTCTTCGACTTCCTATCCCCACGCGTCGTTCATTATATTAAAACGGAATCGTAGATTCTCTGGTGTGACGCACTTAATTGCGCCACCCGTCCCGTTGTTCTACCGTAAAATACCGATGAAC